GAGAGCAGGCCTAAGCCATCAGGTGGTCATCCCCTGAGTGGTCCCAGACTGCGAGAGGGCACAGGCTGGGTTGAGGGACCTCCCCCCCCTCCCCCCAGTGCACAAATTTTTGTGCACCGGGCCTCTAGTTAATTTATACTCCTACAACTTAAATTCACTTAGGAAAACATTTGGGTCTGATAGGTTTTTTGTGGGAGAAACTTTAAACTATTGCTTTAATTTCTTTCAGAGACTTAGAAGAATATTTAGGCTATTTCTTACTTATTTAGTTTTGGTAAGTCATTTTATTAGGAGTTAATCTTATTTCATTAAATTTTTCAAGTTTATTACCATATGATTGTTGGTAATGTTTTTCAAAGAACAGGTGTTCACTTTGATGAATTTTCTTTGTCATTTTTCTGTTTTCAAATTAATTGATTTCTGCTCTTATCTCTATTATGTCCTTTCTTTGAGTTTATTTTGCTGTTTGTAGAATCTTGATATGGAATCTTAAGATAATTGATTTGAGACCATTTCTAAGATGAGTATTTTATGTTGTAAATTTTCTTCTCAGGACTACTTTTGCTGCATCTCACAAGTTTTGATATGCTTTATTTTCACTTTCATTTTCAGTGTAATTCTTTTTTTTTTTTAAATATATTTTATTGAGTTTTTACAGAGAGGAAAGGAGAGAGACAGAGAGTTAGAAACATCGATGAGAGAGAAACATCGACCAGCTGCCTCCTGCACGCCCACTACCGGTGATGTGCCCGCAACCAAGGTACATGCCCTTGATCGGAATCGAACTTGGGACCTTTCAGTCTGTAGGCCAACGCTCTATCCACTGAGCCAAACCGGTTTCGGCTGTAATTCTTATTTTCCTTGCAACTTGCTCTTTGATCCATGGATTGTTTTAAGAATGTGTTGTTCAATTTCCAAGTGGTCTCAGTAGATTTTCTTGTTGGTATTTTGATTTCTAGTTTGATCTCAGTATAGTCAGAGAACATAATCTTTATGCTTTCAGTTCTGTTAGATTTCTTGAGGTTTGGTTTGTGTACCAGACAGAATATGGTTTATTTTGGTGACTTTTCTATGTGTCCTTGGAAAGGATGTGTATTTTGCTGCTATTTGGAGGAATGTTCTGTGAATGTCAGTTATATTCAATTGGTTAATAATATTTTCAGTTCTTTGATATCAATACAGATTTTCTGTGTGATGGCGACTAAGAGGAGAGGTATTGAAGTCCACTGTTTATTTGCAGGTTTATGTTTTTAGTTCTCTAAATTTTTGCTCTGCATAATTTGAACCTGTGTTTTTTTTGTGTATACATAAGGTTGTTATGACTTCTCGATGGATTGACCCTTTTATCATTATGTAATACTATTTGTCTTGCTCTAAAGCAGTGATGGCGAACCTATGACACGCGAACTCATTTTTTTAGTTGATTTTTCTTTGTTAAGTGGCATTTTTCTTTGTTAAATGGCATTTAAATATATAAAATAAATATCAAAAATATAAATCATTGTTTTACTATGGTTGCAAATATCAAAAAATTTCTATATGTGACATGGCACCAGAGTTAATTTAGGGTTTTTCAAAATGCTGACACGCCGAGCTCAAAAGGTTCGCCTCAAAATATAAGCAAGATCTCTAGGGACATCATTGGCCAATATGAGAAATAAATAGAATTTGGAATGAGACTGGAACCACTATTACACTAAATGGAAAGGTTAGAGAGCAGATGTGACACAGCTGTAAAGAATTAGAGAATAGAAAGATACGTTTAAATAACTTACCAATAAGAAACAACAACAGAAAAAAAGGAATGTATCTTTCTATTCTCTAATTCTTTACAGCTGTGTCACATCTGCTCTCTAACCTTTTTATTTAGTGCAGCCGTGGGCAAACTATGGCCCACGGGCCAGATCCGGCCAGTTTGAAATGAATAAAACTAAAAAAAAAAAAAAAAAAAAAGACCATACCCTTTTATGTAATGATGTTTACTTTGAATTTATATTAGTTCACACAAACACTCCATCCATGCTTTTGTTCCGGCCCTCTGGTCCAGTTTAAGAACCCATTGTGGCCCTCAAGTCAAAAAGTTTGCCCACCCCAGGTTTAGTGTAATAGTGGTTCCAGTCTCACTCCAAATTCTATTTATTTCTCATATTGGCCAATGATGTCCCTAGAGATCTTGCCTATATTTTGAGAAAACAGGGATGTCTCCTCTCTAGTGTGGTGCCAGTAGGAGGTTCACTTGGAGTTCTTCATTTGCCATAATACATGGAACTAAGACTCCCTTTAGTATAATGTCCATTATTCTTCAGACTATATTTTAATGAGTTTTGAAGCAATAAACAGTTTTGAAGGAAAGTTTATAGAGGTTTGGTAGGTAGGTAGATATTTAGTTCTGTTTGCTGAGAGATTTTTCTGACTTAACTAGACCCAAGAATTTGCATTTCTTCGAGTATGCAGTTGATGCTAATGTAGCTGGTCTGGTAAATAAACTTTGAGAACCTCTGTCAGTGGTCGGCAAACTCATTAGTCAACAAAGCCAAATATCAACAGTACTTCAAAATAGACTCGCCCAGGCTGAAAACCGACTTCTGCGCATGGGCCACGAAGTTTCAATAGCACTGTACGTGCGACCGCACGTGGTATTTTGTGGAAGAGCCGCACTCAAGGGGCCAAAGAGCTGCATGTGGCTCGTGAGCTGCAGTTTGCAAACCACAGGAGATGATGTCTCGATTTCTGGCTCTGATTCTTTTATCTTTGAAGAGGGCATCATTTGGCTTGGGGATCATTTTATTAACACTTAATAAAAGTGCTGTGACAGCTTCTTTTTGTGCCTAAGTAGCTGGTTTAAAATCACTGCATTAATTTAATGTTTTATTTTAGTGATCATTCAGGATATGTTCGACCAGTACCAGTGCCACGCAGTTTAAATAGTGATATTTCCTATTTTGGTGTTGGGGGCAAGCAGGCTGTTTTCTTTGTTGGACAATCAGCCAGAGTGAGTAAAAACTTTCTTGTAAATGAAAGTTGATCAGACTATTTTGAGGTTGACTCTAAATGTTTTAATCAGTTTAACTTTTATTCATTTTTAAAGTACTCTTCTTAATATTTAACAGATGATAAGCAAACCTGCAGACTCCCAAGATGTTCATGAGCTTTTGCTTTCTAAAGAAGATTTTGAGAAGAAGGAGAAAAATAAAGAGTCAATATATAGTGGATTTATTAGAAACAGAAAGGTACACTACATTTTAACTCAATTGTAAATGTTTTGTATGGATGATAGGACCAGAATATTTTTCCTAATTCTATCTAAGATACTAATGTAGCTTTAAAAAACTTGAAGGTATGGAATTTACAATTAAATTACTTTAATTTTATTCTTTTTTTCTTTAATCATGTGAATAGCAAAAGTGATTATTTATGTGTTTTCTCAGGCTGGAAGTTTTTAGACAAATTTTTTCGTAAAGCTGAGTAAGCCTCCTCGAAAGTGCTCATAAGATTGTAAACTTTTTTCCTTGCACTGACTGAGTTTTAAATCTTTGTTGTATAATCACAGAACTAGAGTGGAAAACAGGGATAGAATAATAGACTTTTAGGAAATCAGAGCTTTAGAGAAAGTAATGAACAGTTCATTTCTGTTAGAAATTTGCTTTCAAATTCTCATTTTAATAAGTAGAATGTTAATAAACTTGAATCTTGATCATGTACCTGATATTTATTATACTAGTATTCAATTTTTTTACTGTTCAAAACACTTCAGAATTTTTAATTTTAAAATCTTTATTTTAAAGTAATTTTGAGGTTTTTAAGAATTATTGTCTAATTCTAAAACTATATAAAAATTTTAAAGAAGTAAAAAATCTCAAATGCCATTAAAAGGTACTTAATGTTTAGTTGAATTTTCTTCTAGTCTATCTTTTATATTATATATAGTATGAACCCAAATTTTTAAAAATTAACATTTTAAATTAAACACGCTTTAAATAGCTTCATGGTATTTCTTGAGCTGAATGTACTATATCTTAACTATTCTTTTGAGTATATATAATTATAAATATATATAATTTATAGTATATAATTATAAAGATAATGCTGTGAATACCTTTGCATAATATTTTGCCTGAATTATAATGTTTCTTAGTATAGATCGTTAGAATTTTAACAGCTGTGACATACTATGAACTTTATGAATGTTCATAGTATATATTATAAAACAACTTTTCTGAAAGGTTGAACCCAAATCAAATATACTCCCAACAGCCGTATGTGGAAGTGCCTATTTAATCATTTTCTTATTTTAAAAGTGGAGAGGGTAGCAAAATGTTGACAATTTGATAGGTAAAAATAATACCTTTTCTTGTATTGCTACTGCGCTGACATTTTTTTTCCTGTTTGGTGGATACTTTTGCTTTTTTCTATTGCTTAACATTCTTCTCTGTCCAGGAAATTTCTTTATTTCGCTTATTTCACTTTTTTCTTTTGAAATTTATTATATTTATTTAACAGTTTATATATCTTAATGTATTTGCATAGTAGTATTCCATTTTATCATTTCTACATTACTTTACTATCACAAAGTGCTTTAAAGTATATTGGTGGAAATATTATTTGCCATGTTGAAATTGGTGAAAAAATAGGAATTGAGAATTTAACCCCTTCCCCAACAATTTTTTTGTTAAAAACGTTTCTTTTTCAGACTAATTTTTTTATTTTGGTTCTATATAGTATTTTTGATGCTGGTTATGAAAACAGTTTGTAACTCGTCTTCCTATAAACCATATTTTTTTACCATATTTTCTTAGTATACTCGTCGACGACTGAAAAAGAACATTTTGTGAAAACGAGTATACACGTTTCTGCCGGGGAAGGGGTTAAGTGATTTTCAGAACTGTATGCTGAGGTCTCTTGGGTCATCCTTTCTGACAGCTTTTCATGTGACTTGTACTTACTTCATCCCCGCAAACAATTCATGGGTACTAATGGATCCTTGGTCTTTTTAATTTTCTGACTTGTTCTTTCTAGCATACTCTTCCCCCCCACTTCCCGACTCCTCTTATACCCCTGACCTGTTAGCATTTGCTAAAAATGTGTGTGGGGTTGGTGGTTCTTGATCTGTATATAACCAACGGTCTTGCTGTTTGTGTGTGTGTGTGTGTGTCATTTGCTATCAACAGTTCTCAAATCTATTTCTTGTTAAATGACTGTTAAGATTGAGACACTGAATCAGGTTGAACTCTCTGTAAAGGAAGCAAACTATTCCAGGCACCTTAAAAAGAAAAGGATTTAGTAAAGGGAATTAGATACTTCCATGATTATTGGAAGTGATGAAGGAATGAACTCTAGGTTGAACCTTGTGGAATGATTTTAAGACTGTCAAAGTTGACCTGCAGGGGATGCTGCAACATAGTTTATAATCACATGGCTGTAGTAGGACCTGGGTCTGGAATTCAGAAACACACTACCTTACCTGTGATTTGGGGGTTGGAAAAGCCTTGCTGTCACAATTGCTCCAACACTGGAATATAGAATGTCTGGCATAACCAGTGCTGTATCAATGCTTATACTTAAAGCTGGAACCAGGATAATGGTCTTTTTAGTATCTTTCATCATTATAGAAAACCTTCAAGAATCCTCAGGAAATGGCTGCTGTTTCTTTTCCCCTTCAAAATCTTTGGCTAGTGCTTCTAATTAGGTAAAACCTGATTTGCATCCACAACCCCAAATGTAAGGGCGTTTGAGAAATGTGATTTTTGGTTTTCCATTCTCTGGAGCCTGGAAGGAAACAAAAAAAAAGGTGGTGTAAATGGGTGGCTGAGTACCATCTAGCACACTCATTTCCAGTTTCAATTGGATTTTCTTCTCCCAGGGTTCCATAAGTAACTTACTTTTGGTACATCTGAAATCAAACATTATCCTAACCTTTCTTATTCTCTCTTTTTCTTCTCATAACTACCGTTTTTAATTAACAGCATCCCCTGACCAAGCAGTTAGTAATTGTTAATCATTCACCACATTTAATTCTGTCTTTTGCCTACCCTCTCTTTTCCCTTTCATCATATTTAAAACTAGTGTGTTTCCCTTATATTCTCCAATCCTTCGTGTTCTGTTTGGTCTGGAATGTTCATATTGAGCTGTCTATTGGGTGACGTAAGTCTGTAGCTCTTGGTTCACATCTTTATAATGACACATTGTTTTATAATTTATTTCTCACCTCTTACTAGATCAGTGGTTCTCAACCTGTGGGTCGCGACCCCTTTTGCGGTCGAACGACCCTTTCACAGGGGTTGCCTAAGACCATCCTGCATATCAGATATTTACATTACGATTCATAACAGTAGCAACATTACAGTTATGAAGTAGCAACGAAAATAATTTTATGGTTGGGTCACAACATGAGGAACTGTATTTAAAGGGCCAGAAGTTTGAGAACCACTGTACTAGATGGAATTTGTAAGGAGGAAGGGCACTTTTTCATTTATCTTGAACCCTATCTCCTTGTGCCTAGGTGGACTCATAGGATTTGGAAGGTACTTGATAAATATTGGGATAATTAACCTGCATAATTAGTAAACCTAAACTATTCTTCTCACTAATAAGTGTATAAAAATATATAAAAATACATTGTAGCTGTAATATTAGTGATTTAGTGTAAGGGATGGTTCAATATTTTTGCAGGGTTTGTTTTTATTAAAAAAGTAGTAATACATGCTTATTAAACAAAAGAAAATGTCGCTTTCCTAGACATAATAATTCAGTGTGTATCTTTATAAGTTTTTAGTATGTGGCAACATACATGGTATGTGTGTGCGTGTATATATATATATATGTATATATGCATGCAATTTTTAACACATATAGATTCATAGTAAAAGTTAAGAAGTTTATAGCATTTATCCTCAAACACTCCCCCCAATCCCTTCTTCCCACTTCCATTCTGTAAGCTATAGATATTCTCAGAAAGTGAACTGAGGACCAGGATGATTTTATTACACAAGTGCCTTTACTAAGCCAACTGAGTTCAGACTGCATCCTAATTTTCTTTTTTGTTTTCTTTGTTGATTAAGGTATTACTTATGTGTCTTTATCACCACATTGCCCCCCACCCCACCCTGCTCATGCCTTCACCTCCCCTGGTATCTGTGTCCATTGTTTATGCTTATATGCATGCATACAAGTCCTTTGGTTGATCTCTCCCCCTTACCCCCACCCTCCCCTCCCTTCCCTCAGAGTTTTGACGGTCTCTGGATCTATTTTTGTTCATCAGTTTATGTTGTTCATTATGTTCCACAAATGAGTGAGATCATGTGATATTTATCTTTGTCTAGCTGACTTATTTCGCTTAGCATAATGCTCTCCATGTGCATCCATGCTGTTGAAAGTGGTA